GGAGTTAGCCCAGGGACACTGAGGCCCGGTAGGGAGTTAGCCCAGGGACACTGAGGCCCGGTAGGGAGTTAGCCCAGAGAAAGACTTACCAGCTCATGCATGAATGAAGGGAATGAAGGACTTCCAGTCCTGAGCACGCCCCACCCGAGTGTCCAGGGCCCACCAGTCCTCCCTCCCTTCCCTTGCCCCATCCTGCCCCACCCAGTCCCATCCCCACAGGACTCACACATCCAGAGGTAGTAGAGGCGCTTGGTCATGCTGAGATGCTGGGGAGGAATGTCTGCCTCGAAGTCTTGGTAGAAACATGGCTTCAGCGGGATAAATTTGGGCAAAGGAGGGAAGTTGTTCACTTTCTCTGTGAGGGAGACACATTACATGGCATGACTCTGAGTCTTCTTCCTGACAATCCATGGAACCAAGATAAATACCCTTTCCCAGGTCAGGGCTGCCACCTGGGTCTCCGCGACCATAGGTCCCTTTGTGATCCCATTAGCATCCCTGCTCCCCTAGGTCCGCCATAACCTTAAACTAACTCAAGGCTTTGATGCAATGTCACTGACTTTCAGGAGAGGAAAAAAAACCATGCAATCCATCATGATAGACAGCATCCAACTTAGTAGGGAAGCAAATCCAAGCAGAAGAGTAGGGTGAGAATTTGGCAATCTGGGCTTCAATCCCCACTCCAGTATTCACACTTCTTGGCAAGTCATGATCCTTCTCTAAATCTCAGTTTATTCATTTGGAAGGGATTAGGCTAGGTAGTCCCCAAAGGTCTGTAAAGCTGTGACATTCTATACCTCTGAGCCTTTCAAAGCCAAAAACACAGAAACCTTAGTGAAAAGGTCTCAGAGAACTGAAAAGTCATGGAGGCAACTGAGACAATGGCTGAGCCACCAGTGTCATGCTGGTCAGTCAGATGTATAATGAGACAGAGTCACCATGATGCTTGGTCCCCGATCTCTAGGGCCAGAGATGTGGCTGGGGGCTAGACAGTGTCCTGGTGTGATTCCTGGATACAGTCATGTTAGGGTCTCCAAACCGGAATCTAAAAACACCTAGGAACATGGTACAGGAAGTTGTTGTGTTGTTGTGTACCATCAAGTTGGGACCGACCCATGGCTGACCCTCCAGGAGCTTTGTCAGAGGCTATAAACAGCAAAGAAAGAAACTGCACATCATTCTTCCGTGAAGCAGCTGGTAGATTCAAACGGCATGCCTTTGTGTTGACAATGTAATGCTTTACCACTAAGCCACCAGAGCTCGCTAGGGGAGGATGAAGAGGCAAAAAGGAAGACTATCTCATCTTTGCTGACCATCATGGCCTGTCCACAGGCCCGGTCCTACTCCTTACCAGCCATGATGGCACCAGCTGACCCAGCAGCCTGTCCACGCCTCTTTGTCTTGACCTGGGAAGAAAGGGAAGCCAGAGAAAGATAAGGATCAGAGATCATCCCAATCCTTTTTTCATCCCCAGCAGGGCTGGATTCTTCTTTGATAGGTTTAGTCCTCACTGGCTCCCCTGGTCAGCTGCCCACAAGGTAGATCCTGCCTCACAGCCACCTCCTTCCAGACAATCCCACCCTTTACCTCCGAGTTCAGCCTAAGATCTCATCCAAGGGCAGTAAAGGGACCTAGGAGGAGACCATGTTGGGAAATCCATGTGACAGAAAAGTGCTTAGTGGTCAGAGACTTCTGAAAGAGGAAATGCTATTTCCTGACCATAGGACAAGCTGCACTCTGGCCTGAGTCACAGCTTCACTCCCCTCTTCCTGCCTCTGATTGCTCATTCACTTTGGAGGACTTATGATTTGCCAGAGAGACAGTAAACAAGACAAGATTTCCGCCTTCTGCGCACAGTAGTTAATAACCTCTGCAGGAAATACTAGTAAAAAATCTGGCTGCTACAAACACATACATAGCACCTATCAAGGTGATCTAACCTGATTTGAGGAGTCCAGGAAATTAAAAGTGGAAATCTGGAGAATGAAGAGGAGGTACCTGGGGCAGGGGAAAAAGCAGAACATAGACTCTGATGCAGGAAGTCATTTTTAAGTAAGGTATAAAAGCAGACAGGGTAATAGTAGGTGAGGCTGTAGAGAAGAGTATTAGGCTGTGGCTCCTGAGACCCATAGGGGACAGGGACCAAGACTTGGGGGAAGAGGGAGCAAGACAACCAAGAAAATCCTTGGCCATCTTCGACAACCAGGTAGTTGGAGGACTGTTTCCTGAGATGGATGCAGGCATGAGAAGACGTACAAGACCCAGGCGAAGCCAAGAAACACTGCTCTGTGGGGACTCTGGATGTGAGGTGCCAGGGGAGCTCCCACAAAGGAATGTCTTACAGCCATTTGGATTACACAGGAACACAGCAGGAGGCCTGTGTTAGGAATGCATTTTAAAAACAACAGAACAGCTAGAACAGAAATAATGAGAATGTTCGTGCATTGTGAAGAATGTCACCAACATCATGGAACAACCGGTTTAGAAATCATTGAATAAGAATCTAACCTGCCGTGTAAGCCTTCATCAAAAACACAATTAAATAATACATATTGTTTTAAAAATTGCATTGACAAATTAAGGTCAAGGAAGTAAATAAGCAAATCACCTTGAGAAAACAATAACTTAAATAGAATATATAGAATCAAAACCAACAGTGGTCAGTGACTAAGTGCTAAGTCAATGAAACCTCCAGGACAGTCATAACAAGTTTAAAAGTAAACAAAACTAATGAATGATGTTAAAAGTTAGGATAGTCTTAACCTTGAGAAGGACCAACTTCTGAGGTGCTGGTACTGGGCTATTTCTTACTCTGGGAACTTGTTCTGCAGATACTTTTGCTTTGTAGAAATGTATTAAGCACACAGTTACCATTTGTGCACTTTTCTGTGAGGCTGAATTGCTGTTTAAAGGGTTGTGGTGGGCCTAGAGGGTTAGAAGTTGTACTGCCAACCCAAAGGCATTTGGTTCGAATCTACCAGCTGCTCCTTGGAAGAGATGGGCAATCTCCTCTCATGTGTTGCTGTTAATTGCCATTGAGTTAGCCCCAACTCATGGGGGCACTACACACAACTAAACAAAACACTTCTGCAGTGCAGTACGTCACTTAAAGAGGCTGCTCTAGCCATGGGCTTTGTAACTTCCACCACTAGACTGAGTAGGATTATGAAAATATGAGATGGTTGTGGCCCATTTAAGTGATGATTAGATTCTTTGTTAATAAATTTAATAAAGTACAAGAGACCCTTATGGGATGGGACCAAGTAAATAGAGTTGTACTGAATGTTAACATGGGGGATAGGCCAATGTTGCCTAGGCTTAAAATGAGCCATCCTGGAGGCAAAAAAAGATCTCACTGCTATCAAGAAGAGTCAGGAGTTGTGTGTCCTTTGGGCCTGAGATCCCTGCACTGAAACTCCTTGACTTTAAAGACAGAGCCTAAACATCAGTGAGACTTCAAGAAGTGGTATGAGGATGGCAGTATGACAGCAGGAACCAGAAGCATCAAGAGACCAGAGAAACACAGAGCTGTGGGATTCTGGCCAACAGCGATAAAGCTGAATGCCTTTGGGCAGGAGGCTTACTGGTGGAGTGGGTGCCTTTGGACATTTGCCAGGAAACTGAGCTGAGTTACATTAGCCCTATGCTTGCTTAGCTGAATGAGGTGCTTTTGGAGATACTTAAGATGGCAAAGTGAAAAGAGCTTTGTTACAATTGCCTGATCAAAGCAAAGGCCAAGATGTGAGGCTGAAAGCCAGCGAGAGGTCTCCCTGGGGATACATACCCTTGATCAGTTGGACATCAGACTATTATGTTCTATGGGGCCTTCATTGGCAAATTTTTTAAAAGTAGATTGCCAGGTATTTTTTCCAACCTTAGTCTGGAAGCTTCCTTGAAACCTATTCAGCATAATGCTGGCAGCATACAAGTCTCCCCCACAATGACAGGTGGTAGCCGTGCATGAGGGGCATTGTGTGTGTTTTATATTTGTTTTATATGTGTATATTTTATATGTGTTTTATATGTGTATATACTTCAATAAAATGTGTTCTTTTAAAAAGATACTAGATTTCTAGTACAATTCTGGAGCTAAAGAAAAGTTTTGTACATAGGGTTTTTGAAGGCCTGTTATTTTGGAAGTCTGTAGTCTGTCTTAAATTTTTTTTTTAATTAAAAAAACAAACAAACAAACAAGCATTTTACAGAAAGGAGCAGATGAAAGACATTTACCCAATTAAAGAAATGACCAATAGATTCAGTGTTGCTCCCCACCCTTGCCACATGTGTCTGGATCTATCCCTTTCTCTACTCCACCAGCACCCCTTTTCACTTCAGCTTTTACACCATACAACACCTCTCTTCCCTTATCCAGCCCTGGATACGATGGCTTAAATCTCAAGTCATCAGGATTTCTGAGTCCGAACACCTCATGCTGCTGCCAGATTCTTATGCTGTGGCCAGTATCTCTTGAATTTAAGAGTCTCTAAGTACAACAATCAGGTTCAAATATTAGGGAAGGCTTCCTATTTCAGACAGTTCTGCAGAAAAGTCCTTTGCCTTGAACTTCTACTCCAAGACTGACTTCTTGTGGCTTAGTACCTCTTCTCTTCCATTTGCAGCAAGGTGCTAATGCAAAAGGACAATTTCCCAGGAGAGAGTGATGTGTCCTCTAGGACTGGTACATATGTGAAACCTATACTTGAACCAAGAGGAAGTCACCAGAACAAAGGAAGGAGACACTGCATGGTTCAAAATTGGGAAGGCCATCCACCAAGGCTGTATTCTGTCTCCATACCTTTTCAATCTGTGTGCAGAACAGATCATCCAGGACGCTGGACTGTATGAGGAGGAATGTGGCATCAGGATTGGAAGAAGATTCATCAACAATCTATGTTATGCAGATGACACAACCCTGCTTGCTGAAACAGAGGAAGACCTGAAGCACATGCTGCAAAAGGTCAAGGACTGCAGCCTTCAAAATGGATTGAAGCTCAATAACAAGAAGACAAAGATTCTCACCACTGGGCCAATTGGCAGTATCATGATAGATGGTGAAGAGATTGAAATTGTTAATAGTTTTAGTTTACTTGGCTTCACAATCAACACTCTTAGTACCAGCAGCCTGGAAATCAAGAGACGAATTGCATTGGGAAAGTGAGCTGTCAAGGACCTCTCCAGAGTACTGTAGACCAACAACGTCAGGCTGGAAACTAAGGTGTGCTTGATCCAGGCCATAGTCTTCGCAACTGCTTGCTATGCGTCAAAGAGCTGGACAATGACTACGGATGATAGAAGGAGAATTGATGCTTTTGAGCTATGGTGCTGGAAAAGAGTGTTGAATATACCATGGACTGACAAGAGAACAAACAGGTTTGACCTGGAGAGGGTGAAACCAGGCTGCTCCTTGGAGGCAAGGATTCTGAAGCTTCGTCTGACATACTTTGGACATGTTACTAGGAAGGACCAGTCCTTGAAGAGGCACATCATGTTTGGGAGGGTGGAGGGACAGTGCAAGAGAGGAAGACCCTCGATGAGATGGACCGATTCAGTAACCGGGGTAATGGGGGTTGGTGTGTCAGAGACAATAAGGTTGGCACAGGATAGAGTAGGGTTTAGGGCTTTTGTACATAGGGTTGCTATGAGTTGCAGGTGACTCAACAGCACATAACAAGAATAATAACAATGAAAAGTTTGGACAATTATAATCTTTTGTTGCATTATATAATATGGAACCAAAGACAGAAAAAACCTAATACGCTCTCTCACAAAAAGAAAGACAGGGGAGCTCTGGTGGCCTAGTGGCAAGAAGCTGCACTGCAATCCCAGAGGTGTATGGTTCAAATCCGCCAGATGATCTTCTGGAGAAGGAGAGACAATCTTCTCCTGTACCAGTCAGATCTGATTTGATGGTACACATACACAAAATAATAAAATAAATAAAAAAAAAAGAAAGACAGACTTCACAGAGCCAGGCATGAAATGCTAAGTGTATATGGCTGTGTTAATTATAGCATTGTTCACTATAACAAATAATTGAAAACAACCTACATGTCCATCAATAGGAGACTGATTACATAAATGGTGCAATCACACAATGGACTATTCTGAAATTATTTTTCAAAATACTCTGAAGCTATTTTAAAAAAAATGAAAGGACCGGATAATTAGAAACCATGTGTATGTCAATTAACAGTCTTCCAAGGGGAACTGGGAGGGGAAGAGGAGAGTGTGTGTGAATGAATATATAATAATCAAAAAAGAGGAAGAATTCTCTGTGTGCTGATACTGAAAGATCCCAACAATTACTAGTAATTTGAAAGAGAAGATGTGGAACACTGTATATTATGTTCTTTTTTTCTGTATTAAAAAAAAATAACTAAGAAGGAAAGAAAGAAACATAAAAATA